TTTTAGTGCTATCAAAATAAAAATAAAAATATGATAAAAAATTCGAAGTAGTTGAAAAATAAATTTGTGTTAGCAAAAACTAAAAAATAAAATTCAAAGAATTATTTCCACCAACCTGGTACACATTTTCTGGATGCTTTTCAAATTACTAATTTTGTACAAGTGTAACATTATACAAATTTGTATCACCTTAATTAACTCAAAAACTACTATATAAAATTTTGCAAACTTTTTTTTATTTAAAAATTTTAGATTTAAATAATAATTTGTATAATTTTTAGATTTGTATCTTATTTATTTAGCTCAATATAAAATTTTAAAAAGTGTCTGTAATAATATGGTAGGCTCTATATACTAATAATGCCTGACGAAATGATTTTTGTGATGACGAATAACATTGTCATAGTTTCGTCATGACAAAACCTTGATGATTGACGAAACCCCTAAAGATTAACGAAACCTATGCCGAATTGACGAAACCTATAATGAAATGATGAAACCTATGACGAAATGACGAAATGACGAAACCCTTGACAAAGCCTCTATCGATTGATGAAACAGTGTTAACTGATTTAGCCAGTAATTAAACAACAAGCTTCTATATAATGATCTTTGGATAAGCTAAACCTTAAATTGTTTCAAAAGAATGTTAATTCATTATAAGGATTCATTGGCTTTTTTCTTTTTCTTCTTTCGCAATTCATGTCGGGTTGATCTGGAATAATCATTCATATCGGGTTAATCTGGAATAATCAAATCGTTAATTCCCGGATCTGTGTGAAAGAAGAAAGAAAAGTGAAAATACTTGAAAGCCAATTTTAAATCAACCTTGGTGCACTAATTAAAATGTGAGAATGAAGTTTTACATATAATGAGCATTCATTTTTACGCGCTTTGTTTATTTACAAAATTTAATTTATTTGTCATTCGTAAATAAGTAAAATCACGATGGATATCTTAAAATGTATATATTGTTATCAACCTAGATTGATTATCTATCGCTATTATTAATTATGCACTATCGCCTGTTACAGCTGATTTGAAAATTAATGGGATATATGATTATTTTTCGATAAAAATGGTATAGTTTTTCAATAATATAATTTTCGTCCGATATATTATTGCAGTACCGGTTGTTTTGATTTTTGAAAACATCCTAGATCAGTCCAAAAATCAAAACAAACGATACCGTGATAATATATTTGAAGATTATATTATCGAAAAACTATACTGTTATTACCGAAAAATAATTACTGAAATTTAATTTTCAAATCAGCTCAGCTGTAAAACATCATTTTCTTTTTAGCTCTTATTGTTATTAAATCACTTCTTAATTTTTATAAATGTGGTATTTAACTCTATCTTGTATGAATATAACTCATCAGGTTTCGTTATAGGTTTTGTCATTTCATTATAGGTTTTGTTATTTCGTCATAGGTTTCGTCAATTCGTCATAGGTTTCATTATTCATTAGGGGTTTCGTAATCGTCAATTTGTCAATCAGGAATTATCTGACGAATAGTTTTGTTATTCGTTATAATGAAATATTTTGTTATTCGTCAGGCATTATTACTATACACTGTACAGGATATTGATCATTGACAAATTTCAGTAATTATTTTGATAATATAAATTTCGGCTAGTACATTGCCTCGGTATAATCTTGTACCAACCAAAAATTATATTATCAAAAACTACACCTTTACCGAACAATAATTATCGATGATCATCACAAAATTCATCATGTATTCCACTAATTTTCAAATCGCATGTTACCCAGTCCCAAACCCAATAAGGTAGCTGCTGATATCATCACGCAAAACCAGGAACAGAAAACACAATTTTACATTTAGCATTATTAAAGGTAGAGTGTACATAAATCATTTATCATATGATATGCGTTGTCAATCTTTTTTGTGTAACAGTTTATATAGTAAATACAACTCTGATTGGGTAATTACTGTTTTAGTAATAATTTTACTATTTGTTTTTTGTGTAACCCCAGCAAATTTGAGAACCCCGGCAAACTTTACGCTATATGTATATACATTTTTTTTAAAATAATATAACCCCTAAAAATTTACTACTATAAATAGAGGGTTTAATCTATATATTACAAAATTTTGGTAAAGATTGACAGTGGCTTCAAAAACTTTTGTTAGTGGTGTATTTTAATTTATGCATAAAATCCCATTGTACAACCAAAATCATATAATAAATGATCGACATACACTCTACCCTTAATCAGAATCTTTTTATATAGATATGCTAATAAAAATAAAGTCATTTATTTATTCCTAAATTAATACAATTTGAAATAAATAAAATATTAGAATGGTAATGAGCAATATTAAAAATATCTGAAAAGGCCAGAATTAGATGAATTTAAAATATTTTAATAACCCATTAGTATAAGCTTTATGGTTATAAGTTATTAGAAGCAGTACAAATTTATTATAAATTTTGGTTGGATAATCAATGTGCTCTTTATAAATAGTGAGTATGTACATGGAATATTATTAAAGTGCTCGAGAGGGAAAGCCTATAGGTAAAATGTATTCTCTAAATGTTATGTAATTATTTACATATACGATCAGCGTTCCGATCATTTAGGCAATATTATATTAATAGAAATAATATGGGATTTTTGCTATCAAAATGACCCTCTGAGGCTATGTTGATTTTGTGAATAAAAATTAAATTTGCCAGGCATCTAGTCATCCAATTTGAATGAATTTTTTTTAATTCGTAGATTCTATTGAGATTTAAAAATAAAAAAAAGTTTATTCAAATTGGATTATTAGATAGCTGACAAATTTAATTTTTATTCACAAAATCAACATAGCCTCGGAGGGTCATTTTAATAGCAAAGATCCCATGTATTGTTATATATTAAAAACAATGATTATGTATGAGATTATTAAAAACTGTCTATTCGGTATAAAGAGTTTTATTAGTATACGTGTTAATGTTGGTTATTTTTTTGTTTCGTCCATCACGGTTCTGCAATCGAACCATTTTTACCCGATCCCACCCACCCCAGTGAATCCTGTCATTTTCGCAGTAAATGCGAATTCTTTATGCAGGTGGGAAAACACCGGCTGATGCTAATTCTCATACTAAAAATCCTGATTAAGAGCCGGCCTGCTTCATGCCATCGGCTGATGCTACGCATCGCTAAATTTTAATTATACATCGACTACGCTACTCATAATAAATTTAATATCCAGTCTTATTTGGCTGGTGTCAACCATAAAATACAAGTATCACGTGCGTGTGGTTCTTTTTGATGCTAAAACTTGTTCCGTCTGATTATTTAATCAAGCCATTTACGAATTTCAGGTTTATATCATTTACATAACGAATCGTAATCTATATTACTGTATTAAGTAAAACGTACAGTACAAGTAAAACATGCTGTTTTTATCAAATGATTATTAATGTCCTTAAAAATGAGGATGAACAAAAATGGCAAGTGGCTCATTACGAACAAAACTAAAATAGAAAAGGTCCAAGAAAACACAAAATAGGTATCTATAAATCAACATTCGTACGTACGCACGTACTAGTAATATGCACGTGCATAACCTGATGAACAAAAATTTAAATATACTGTAGCCTGCTACATACAGGTGGAGAAGCCTCATGCTCAAATTAGGGAAAAATCGATCTACATGTGGTAAAGCCCATGAGTAAATTAGGAAAAATTTGGACCACATATAGGTGGAAAAGCCCCATACGCAATTTCTAATCATATAATTAGAGGTTTATGTCATCACTCAGTTACGCTCTATATATGAGTACAGCCAAGGGTAAACCTGTCATCGGACTTTCAATTATATTTTATAATATACAGCTAACCATCTATGAAGAATCTATTGTAATGATAGATTTACCATAGACGGCTAACTGTACACAAAACATAATTACAGGCTTTCCTTTGGTGGCACACACATATATATAAACTCGTTTAACAAAACAGGTTTACAAAAAGAATTAATCATATGACGGATAAAAAAAGATATCCAATCAAAAGCACGGATTTGTACAGAAACACTTCACATGCCGCTTAACCATGCACTCCGTTCCTGGTACTGCTTACACCTAACATTTGTATGAAATTTTAGAGTTTCGGGCCTTACAAAAGTTTTCGGAAGTTACGGTTTCGCCGCTTTCTGAGGATTCGGAAGTTAGAAAATGTGGTCTCTGGCGAAACTAGGCTTCGGAGGTTTCGGAAGTTTCACTTGGCCGATAGTTTCGGTTTCGGCCGAAACACTGCACTAATCGACATATGTAACGCACGTACGTACATATCAGAATGATTTTACTTATTAGCGCGGGTAACACAAACCAAAAAAGGAAATCGAATTCTGTAAATAAACTAACGCTAAGTGTGTGTTTAGGATTAGGATGTTAGGGTTATGAGCTTCAGTGATAAGTTGGTTTCTAATATATATAATTTCATAACAGTCGATTTAAAACTAGTTTTTGAGTATTTTCGGCCATTTCTTTTTAGAGGTTTGTATTTCACATTTTGATCTACATACTGCATAAATATTGTTATACTTACGGTGTAAAAACCTATTGCTATGGTGTACAATAACTATGGTGTAAAACACCAACATCAACTACCCTAAAAATTCAACGCAGCAAAATTAGGCGTAATGTGAATTTTAAGGAAAAAAAATTTTTAATCCTCGCCAGACTTTACGAAACTTCTGCGTTCTAGTAAAAAAAGTCTTCCTTGTAAAATTTTGGCACATGATTGCTTCTTTCTGACCCTAACTTTGTTATAAAGTTTATTATTATTACTTTATTTAATCGGTTTAAAATTGCATATTACACCTGAGCTACAGTACATAGAAGACCATATATAGATTTGATTTACATAATGCGTGTATAATCCCATTATATGTTTATAAAGTAAGGTTTCCACTTTGTTACTGTCTATTAAAGTATATTTAAAATTTTATTTTTCACTTATTACTACAACAAAAATAATGATTAGACTTTGGCATGATGGTAATATTCATAATCCACCAGGAGGTGCCTCTACAATTTTTAAAGAAGGGTACGCCAACTACATTTTTAAATATATTCCTAAAAATGATGTAAGAATAAGTGTGGGTGCAGTGCCGAATAGTCCACCTCACTTTGGTACCATAATTACCTTCTCACTTGCTTTTTCTCTTGCTCAACGATTAGAAAAACTTGGTAAAATTGTGACAGTTATGGCTGGAATGGTGGACACAATAGCTTTATACACAGATATATATAATTTTAATGATATTGAATACCAAAAAAGCATTGCTTATACTGGAGTAATTCATAATTACATGGATGATTTCAAAGAATTACTAGATAAAATGAGTTCTTACTTCGGTGGTGTGAAATATAAACTGGTGAATCAAAGTGAATTAAATTTACACAGGAAAGCTCCGGAAATAATTATGAAATTAATAAGTGAGCGAGAAAAAATTGGACAATCATTATTTCCCTCAACTAAGTGTCTCGCATTAAGGATGGCTTGTCCTCAATGTGGTTTGGCAGACAAACATGGAATAAAAAATTGTTATAATGGAAATATGATTAGTTTTTTTTGTCCTAATCATGGCTGGCATTCAATTGATATAGAAAAAGACGATTTGCAAACATTGCAGTATGAAACTCAATTAAGAAGTTTAGTGAGAGGTTTATTATACACTGAGGATAATAAAGAC